CAAAAATATGAAGCAGCACAACTGTTTTCAACATTGATAATAATAATCAGAAATGTTTTTGAGCAGCACATCATCATATTATAATAATTTCTGAAGGATCATGTGACACTGAAGACTGGAGTAATGATGCTGAAAATGCAGCTTTCCATCACGGGAATAAATTACATTTTAAAGTATTAAAATGGAAAACAAGTTATTTTAAATTGTAATAATATTTCACAATAATCTTACTGACCCCAAACTTTTAAATGGTAGTGCAGAACTAATGTCAAATGTCGAAGATTGTACTCGTACACAGCGTAAATTTGACCTGGAATCATGCAGTGTTTTTAGTCATGTTAGCACGTCATGGATTATTTCAAGCTTTACACGCTCATTTTAATCAAAAGACACATTCACACAAGACATTCTTTCGTTTAATATGCGTAATTGAGGTCAGATAGACTTCTTTGGCTGTTGTGCCACATCTCACTGTTTTTTTTCAGCATCTCACGCCATGCACCACTTTTTTTGTCAAGTTAAAAACAGTTCAAAGTCACAAAATCCAAGGACTCATTATTAAACAAAAGAACTAATACTCAGCGAATCCAAGTGATTTCACAAATATTTGCTATGGTTTCAAAATACCTGCAGTACTTTAAATATACAATACTTGTATGATTTTTTTTAAAATTGAGATCTATTTTGTATCAACTTTTTAGTTTCTTAGCTACTTAAATAGCCATTCCAGTTGAAAGTTATCACATCAACACAAGTTCCATGTCATTGCATCCCTACATTGTACAGATTAAATGCATTACTTATTTTACTTTTTTCTTTTACTAGATAATGAATCAAAAGATCTGAGGTAATGTAGGATGCAGCCCTCTTACCACAGTCAGCAGACCCGTGGGTATGAGACCCCGCGATCTCATTTCCATTGAGATCCACACACCAGCACTGACCTCTGCTTCTATGACACTGCTGAGGCCTATAGAAGCCATCCTCATCACAGGAGGGGATGTACGGACCTACACACACACACACACACCATCAATCAGCATCAATCCTAATGTCAGGAAACATTACATCACAGACAAGATTATACACAGCCACAGAGAGTGTCTCACAGCCACACTCACACAGATAGGGATGATACAGAATATTCAATGTCAGAGAACATAACTGTCACCTCCGAGAGCTTGCTCTCTCTCTCTCTGTGTCTCTCACACACATTCATTGTGTTTCAACTTCACAGCTTCTTTCTACAGAATCGCCATAGTCAAGCTTTTTAAAAAAAAATCATTCTGTCTTTTTTTGTTGTTGTTGTCTTTTTATAATTCAGTGCCAGAAGCCATAGAGCCGTCACTGTGCATTCCACTCAGGGGAGAAACAGCAGTTAAAAATATCTTTTCATGTCCAATTTCCCCTCATCTCATTCCCCTGCTCAAATTAAACACGCAACCTTCAGAGAGAGGGAAAGAAACTCTGAGTGAGTTCTAGCTTTAATAGAATTAACGTTGGCTTCCCTCTGTTTGACACCTTGCTTGTACTGTAACTGTGTTCAGATTGTGATGACATTGAGATGGTTATTAAATTCTGGTGCTTCCTATATGAACATGGTGTAAAAAATGGGTTACTTTGCAAGTCTGGTGTTTATAGCTGATGCTCATAGAGTGTTATTGTTTAGGATGTTTGGGTAACAGATTAGATGTTTAATTACTGCATTTTGTGTGTTACACATCAGTTTGTCTAGTCAGGTGTAAATGACAATGACAATTTTTTTAGTATAGTGATGCTGTGCATCATGGGATTGCTATTTGGTTCTTTCAAAGTATGTTTCAAAATCATTTAAAAATATGATGTAGACTACTGAATGGATTTTTATTGAAAGAGTTCATTTTGTGTGTTTTGGGTAAGAAATGAATGTGTACATATATATATAATATATATACACACACATATATATATATATATATATATTTGGTTCTTTCAAAGTATGTTTCAAAATCATTTAAAAATATGATGTAGACTACTGAATGGATTTTTATTGAAAGAGTTCATTTTGTGTGTTTTGGGTAAGAAATGAATGTGTACATATATATATAATATATATACACACACATATATATATATATATATATATATATATACACACACACACACACACACATATATATATATACACATGTAATACTGTTGCATTAATTAGCTAATATAGATAATAAAAATACCCATGAAATTCCTGCATATAAATACAAATTGTAAAATTGGACTAACTTATCCTATATTCAGTGTGGTTTCAGGTGAGAAGTGTCTTATGCTCACGAAGGCTCCATGTATTTAATAAAAAATACAGTAAAACCCACTAACATTGTGAAATATTATTACAGTTTAAAACTTTACTGTTTTATATATATTGTAAAATGCGATTTATTCCTGTGATGGAAAGCTGAATTTTCAGCATCATTACTCCAGGCTTCAGTGTCACATGATCCTTCAGAAATCTTTCTAATATGCTGATTTGCTGCTCAAGAAACATTTATCTTTATCAATGTTAAAAACATGCTGCTTATTTTGCTGCTTATTTTTGTGGAAATACCGTTTTCAGGATTCTTTGATAAATATACAAAGTTCAAAAGAACAACATTTATTTGAAATTGATTTTTTTTTTACTGTCAATTGTGATAAATCTAATGCATCCTTACTGAATAGAAGTTGAACAATAGTGTTTAATGAAAAGAATTGTTCTTAGAGATGTCTGTTTATTTATTTATTTATTTGATGTGCATTCTCCTTTGAGAAGCCTGCTGGTAGATTTTGGAACTTCTGTTATTCAGCCAAGTGGAAATGATTATCAGTCAATGCTAATGATCTCAATATGGCCAGACACCCAAGGCCCACATGATCTTGCATTACAAACAAAAACCACTTTGTCCATGCGGAAATTACACAAATAAACAAAATGCACAAGAAAATGAACTCACCCAGTAATTTCTTCCCTGCTTGCTGTTTGTGGATGATGGCGATCTCTGATTGGCAGGGAGCCTCTGAAACACATTGATTTCAGATCAGCAGTGAGAAAGACACCTCCACCATTATTCCTCTGGTACAGAGATTTTACCTGCAGGCATTATGTCATTTAGTATATAAATATCTCAGAAATAGATTATCCCACAATGCTGCATAATTTCTAGAATGTCTTTCTGTCTTAACGGTTAATGATTTTCTTGTCTTGTCCTAATTTTCTTTCTCAGATGAACTTACACACCAGACTACACAGGTTGTATGTGCTTTATAGAGTGTACGGTAACACTTTACAATAAGGTTGTATATAATAATATTAGTATTTTAACATTATTTATTCATTTTATGAATAAACAATTCATTTTAACCATTAAAGGGGTGATTCAGTGACTGCCAGAATTTTAAAAGACGTTATCTCCGTTTGCATTGAACTTTCAGCTTCATAACTTTGCAGATATTGTTTATGCTCAAACAGCAACATTACACACTAACGTTAAAAAAGTGAAATCGCAATGAACCACCCCTTTAAAACATTTAGCTAATGCATTATAAACATACAGTACCTGTATAGTATATTTATAAAATAACATTGAGAAGATAAATTAATTTAGTTAGCTCAGAACAAATTAACTAATGTTAACATATACAACCATATTGTAATGTTATCTGTATATTTTGGAATACTTCATTCTCATGAATTCTCACACTTCAATACTCATTCTCATTGGCCATAGAAACATACTGTACTGGTTCTACTTTCATGTCTGTTTTGGTCCTGGACCTTCACATCAAAGTCTGATCTCCCTGTCAGGGTTTATTATGCCTTACGTAACGCTTCTGTAACTTTATTGTATTTAGTCCTATTAGGCAGTGCGCTTGTGTGAAGGTTTCTTAGCTAGTAGTACAGTATGTGAACACACTTTTGTGTTTGGCTGAGGCAAAGTAGTTCTTTATGTTGAATTTCTTGAAAGCATGTGGAAAAGTATGCGTAAATCCCTATTTGGACAGTAATTGTTTCTTTTGGGGACATAAAGTGTTTTCAACATTTGCAGGGACTAGTCTGTGATTTATTTAAGTTTTTCCTCTCACCACCCGCGTGAAAAATTCACGTCGAATTACCTCCTGTTTTTTTGACAAACACCAAGGTGTGGTAATTTAAATTGCTGTCGGAATCCAAATCCAAAAGTCATTTTGTAAATCGTTTTTGACTACTGCCAAGCACCATACAGTAACTGAACTTTGTAATTTACATGAATTGTAAAGATGGACACCTTCATTACTGAAATGCTGGAAAGTATAGTACAAGAACAATATTTCATCACTGCTCCAATACAATTTTAAAACATGTATAATATACAATTATATACATTAAAAATATAAACCAAGTAGCTGGGTCAAATGTTTACCTTATGCAAATAAAAGGATGCATTAACTTTATTAAAATAACATATATCATTTTGAGAGAAAATTCAACATTAAACCAATAGCGTGTCCATTTTCCTATTATTAAATAAGCTATTTAAATAAATAATACATAAATACATTATTTTCCTATTGTTAAATTAGGGGTGTGCAATATCAGGATTTTTGATTGTGGATGATTAAAATGTTTCCACTATCTGCTTTTGAAGAAATATCGTAGTATCGTGCTGCAGCACACATTCTATCAGTTGCAGTTCTGGCGCCTCTGTCTCAATATACTGTACAATGCCACATACATTCACATCAATTGTTAACTAAGCAGTAGAGTTACACTGCACTTATTCACAATTACATTATTTGCATGTGCATGAAAGCCTTGCCGGTTAAATATTTTATTCTTGTGCTGTTCTGACATGCGCTTTTTCTGAGTGTGTACACCTGATGCGCGCGCACACTAAAAAGCCTGTCAAACTGCACCTGATTACTGGACTAAGTTATCATTTGCATCTGATTGTGCTAATAATGTCAAAAACTCACAAGGTTTACATATAAACACAGTTGGTTATGTCTAAAGTGAAAGTAAACAGTTGGGAGAAAAACGGATGCATGCTGCTCTTAAAGTGACAGCAGACTAATAGTACTGAACATGCTGCTGCTTGTCATTAAAGGCATAGTTCACCCAAAAATTAAAATTGTGTCATTATTTACTCACTCTCATGTTGTCCCAAACCTGTATTAATTTCTTTCTTGTGCTGAACACAAAAGAAGATATTCTTTTATTTTGACGAATGTGGGAATTCTTTGAAGAATGCTGGCCCCCACTGACTTTCATAGTAGGTAAAAAATACTAATGAAGTCACTGGGGACCAACAACTGTTTGGTTCCCCACATTCTTCAAAATAACTTGTATGTTCAACAGAAGAAAGAAACTCATTCAGGTTTAAAACAACTTGAGAGTGAGTAATTGATCTTTAATTTCAAGAATTTTCATTTTTGGGTGAACTGTCCCTTTAACGATAATAAAACAACAAAACACAAAGAGAAAAATCCTTCACTGCTCTTGACTGAAGAACTTTAATACAGTTGCTTCAATAAGAATCAATGTATAATTTATACAGTGAAGTGTATATAGTGTTTTAATTTTATATTTGTTCATTCAATTTCTTGAATGCTACTGCTAAATACCTGAAAAATAAAGCACTGTTTGTTTTATTTGTATATTATGTGTATTTGTAATGTGTATCTTTGTTCTTATTTTTTTAATAACAAAGATAAAATAATGACAAAGATTTTTTTATCTTCGCCACTTTGGCCTAAATATCTGCCATTCTTTTTATTTAATATTTTGTTACCTTGTAAGGCTTTGTTTTTAAAATAGGGGAATTAGTTTGTCTGTACTGCTCAGACAACTTGCAAATTAGTAAAACCAACATGACAGAATGGTGATAAAATTTAGATTTTCCTGGAAAAAGTCGTGATATATTTTTGCCAAATTGCCCACCCCTATGTTAAATGACATTTCAATTTATTCATTGTCCAAGCAATGTGACTGACCATGTGAGAAGCACATTTCCGGGTTCGTATTTTCGCAAACAGCATGAATTTATCTTCATCCCAACGCATGAGTTTTACGCAGATTTATTTTTACAGACGTCCCCCTGAGAAACAATTACGGTCTGATTAAAGCGTAGGTTTACCTTGATATCTCTGAAAGCAGGAACACCACTCTTGGCTGGAAACGAGCCTGTCTCTGTCTGTGTCACATGACCTGAAGAAGGCTTTAGTGCACACATCACTCTTCTCTGAGCTCAGGCTGGACAGCTCTGACTGGTCGAGCTGAAGGTCAAAGTTTGTGTCCAGTCTGGAGAACATCCAGCCCAGAGAGTCCTTACAGAGAGGCACCTTACTCATGTCCACCACTGCACAGACATGCAGAGCACCATTATGACGGTTATTAGGTTAGCACGAATATTAGCAGTTTGGATGTGTTTTGTGTGTGTGTGTGTGTGCTCACTCTTCTCTGGCTTCTGGAACTTGTATTTCTTGCTGGGATTGCCACTCTCATGAAGAACTGTGATCCACTCTCGTAATCTGCTAACCACTTCAGCCATCTCCGCATTACCACACTCTAGGCAGAAAAACACACAGAACATCCAACCATAGATAAATTAAACAATCAAGCACAACTGTACAGTTTCAGAAGTAAAAATCTCATTCATTTTTTTCATAGAGAAGTCTTTTTTTAGAGATAATGTTTAGGGGCTGAGGCTACACAATATGTGCTTCTGTAGCAGTCACAAATCAGTGCGATTTTAGTTGCCGAGTTTCCTGAGAAAGACTATATGAAGCTCAGCAGTGACCACCCAATGCCATATTTTCAATGACTTAATCGAGTCAAACTTCTTATGTATTTGTACTAGAATGAGCACTGATATATCAACGCCCATGTGTCGTCACATCCGGCTTTGATTAGTAACATTCAAGAATTTCCGCCTGTATTATTGTCAATGGACGGTCACCAGTTTTGACAAGAAAACTGAACTAACTTTGTTGAACTTGACAATAAACATCAGTATTTCAGACGGTTTATTTAGCCTTACACCCCTAACGTGTACAGTCTTTACTCATATTTACTGTTTTATGAGATGTATGACCTTGTCTAATTCTATTGTTGTTTGTATTCTATTCTTGCATTTCTTTAATAAAAAAGGTGGCGAGACTAATAACATGAATAACATGTTATCAGAATAACATGACACCATTTTTGTTTTTGTTTTATCATACCCGATTAATAATTGTAAACTGTAGTTTATTTGTTTAGATGAAGTATCTGTGATGAACTGTATATCAATAAATCACAACAATCCTATGCTATGGGCACTTCCTTTGATACAGGCTACAGCGGAAGTTTATGCTGCTTTTCGAAGCTTCCACTTTTCGAACGTGTGATAAAGGTCTATTAACCACAATTCATTTTGTGATTCCAGAAGATTCATGACCTGTATGTTCTTCAGTAAAAAACTATGGAAGCTTGTTTCTGCCATTGAAAAAAAAAAAAAAAAAGTATT